TTAAACCTGCTAGGTTATGTAAATGCTCTGGTGGAATAAGATAAATGTATTTTTAGAAACATTCCAATATTGCTTAGAAATTGCAGTTTACGTCTGTGTAAAAAAGTAATATCTGAAAAGCAAAGGCTGTAACATAGGTTAATGTAGGTCTGGCTGCATGAATGGTATCATGTACTTGAGAAGGGGTTATACAGGAGACTAGTTTTCCAAAGTCGGACAGCCGTTTGTGATCATAGAGGGAGACAGTGTTACTCTTGCAACTACTAATGAAACTTAATCCAAGTTGCAAGATTTCCACTGCTGAAGGGCAAGTGTATCCTCTCTCCACCTTGTCAGAAAGGTAAGCAGCTTTGCTGAACTCAACAGGGATAATAATCCTCAAGGGTTTTAAGTGGAACTAGGCACCTCTTGTACATGTGGACTGTAAATCTAGCCTGGTCGAACTGAGAAAAGTAGGACAAAGAGTATATTGTGTTATGTGAGTGTCAGCAAAATCTAGGACATGCAAGTATATATCTTACTACAATTCCCCAAAGTAGAGCCACTGACTCCCTAAGGGAGAAAATTGCAACATACAATCAACAGGAGAAGCTAAGGATTGCCAAAACACAAACCCCATTATCTCTGTGATCATCTTATATTATTATACAAAGCATTGCTTTCTTTCTATGTTGCACTATGGGGATTTGACATCTATTTCGTAATATTTCTAATTAATAACATTTAGTCTAATAATTACTATCTTGATGTTTCCAAAGTTTCTTTGATCTGTTTAGTTTGTGGCCTGTAGTATTGAGTTCTGCATGCATTTAATTTTTTTTGCTTCTTTTGCTCTTTGGCTGCGCACAGCTTACAGAAGGTGTAACTAGGGGGAGGGATGTCATTAGTGGCAAAGATTTTAATTTTCACATAATCATGTAAAATAGTATCATCATTTTTTTTTTTTTTAACTGGAAATAACTTGGCAAATATCTGTAGACATTTAGCTTGAGGCTGATCAATTATCATTTTCACAATTTTACTGTTAAAAAGATATAAAAATATTTTGAAATGGAAATAGAGTAAAAGAAAAAAAGCACAGCAAAAAATAAGCTATTTTATGTAGGATTGCTTTTTATAACATCAATAAGCCCTTAGCTAAATTCAGACTGCAAGCACAAAAGCCTTCTGCTATATTTTTACCATTGCAAATGAACACAAACAAGAAAGTACACAGTGCAGTATCTCATAGCAACCTATGAAATCCACCTTTCAGAGGTCAAACAAGCAGATTATGGATTCAGAATGCCTCGGGCACCACACTTAGATCTCATACACACAAGCATTTTGTATAATCTTCTGGTTAAACGCTTTTCTGAAGAACATAAGAATAAACATTCCTTTAAAAACATTTAGCAAATTTCAAACAGCTTTCTTGAACCAAGTTAAATCAGCACTATACTTGCATGACACAAAATTTATTGTAGGTATTTGGTCAGCATGGCAATCAGGCAACCTGCATTTTTAGGAGAGGTTGGTAATAGTGGTCTATGTATTTTCTTAGTACAGGTTAAGTTTTTAAAAGGCTTCAGCAGGCTTTTAGCAATCTTTAACACCACATAAGGCTTGCTTAAAGTAGTAGTAAACTGCAAGAAAAAAAAAAATCCAAAAATTATTCTCCCTGCATGTTAAGAGCATATTGTGCTAGTATGCATCACATACTAGCACATTAAAAAGACTTACCTGAAAACAATGCCCCCCCCCCCAGCGAAGCGCTGTCACGGCTCTCCGAGGTTTCCATCTTTATCCGGTCTTCCTTCCGGATTCGCTAGCTGTGGCCATCTGATTAGCCGAGCAGTGATATCGTTACTCCCGCTCGCTGGAGTTTCACCCTTTGCACGGCTCTCTCAAAGATGATTGGTGCTTTAAAGGACAACTTCAACTTTAATGAAGTTGTCCTTTAATAACCACCCCCTCCCAGCCCTCCTGGGATATAACTTACCTTCCTCTCCAAGCCAGCAATCTTTCCTTCAACATAATCCGGGCCAGCTCGTCTTTATACAGTGCATGCAGACCACAGCCCATAAATTAAGGGTAAGCTGTACTGATGAGTATGGGTACCCAGAGAAATGAACTGGGCCATGACACGCATGCACAATATGAGGAGGAGTTCACAGTGACAACTTCAATAAAGGTGTAGTTGCCCTTTAAAGCTAAAATTGTACTGGCTTTTGGTCAATTTTATTTTTAAAATACTTTCTGTAGTTTACTATTGTTAAGTAAGGTTTTATCCTGGTTATATTCATATACATGTCCTGATCATATCATGGTGTTACTTAGGTAATATTCAATCTAGAGGCTTTATTGAGAGGGTTGCCATTCAGATTCATAAAACATAAAAAGTAAAGTGTGTGTGTAGTGCTTACCCTCAGAGGCGCCGCTGGATATATAGGGTTCTCTGTTTTAGTGCAATGACTCTGCAAACAGCTTTGTTACTTATTATACACCTGGCTGAGTAGAGGATTGCTGCAAACATCTATAAATGCACAAATATAAATATCCTGTACACATCTATGAAAAGGTACTAGGAAATGGATACCAGACTGGTTAACTGCAAGTAGAACGTATTGTCACATATTAAGAGTGAGAAACTATGCAAGATTTAGTCAGTGGAGGAAAGCTCTAAATGGAGAAACAGTTATTAGCATTGGTTTATATTGACTTACTCTTAATACTTATACCACAGAAACACATCAAGCAGAGAATAACATCTGCAATAGCAGTATCTAATATAGTAACCTATGGCAAAACTTTGGTTTCCATCAGACAGTAACCCATGAACATCCCAAATTGCCTTTGGTATTTAACTTGCAAGAGGTGTCCCTGGCTATGGGAAAACTCAGTGAGTGATCATCCTGAGGCAGTCAGTACTTATTTGGCTGTTTGCTCAGAATCTTCTGCCAGCTATTTGGTGGGGGCCCAGTCTGTAAGGTGGTGCACTTAATTAATATCCCTTTAAGAATCTGCATGCAGTGTTTAAAGTAAAGCTCAATCTCTCACTGCTAGCAGTGGTAATGCAAACCCCAGTCAAGAACATACACAGCAGAGTCAGGTCCGGATGCTTGGTAAACAGGAACTCCACCAATGCTGTGCTCAGTGCCAGTCTCCACCCTGTGGCTCCGTCTCCCAGTCACTTTAGTCACAGTCTCTGACCCAGGATTGGGGCTCTTCTGCTGGCTACACAGAACTTGGGGAGATGTGTCTCCTCCAGTCCCCTTGCAGCAAGAGGACATCCTTTTCCCCACAGCCCAGGAAAAACTGTTCTCTCTCCTCCCTTTTCTTGCCTCTTCCTTGGGCATAGTATTCTGTCCTCCACGTACTTTCAGAACAGAGTTCTCTTTAAAAACTACATCTCCTGTGAACCATCACAACACTGCATTAAAGTCTTTTTGATACTTCATGTCCTATCAGTTCCCTGTAGTGAATGGAAGCAGAACAGCACTGGCTAGATCAACATGGATGTCTTGTGTGAGCAAAAGAGAAGCTTCAGGATGGTGTTTCTGTAGATGCTTCTTTTTCTGGCCATCTAAGCACCCAGCTACATGTGGGCAAATAAAAGTACATAAAAGTGACCATACTACACTGAAATCAGCAGTGATTGGGAGGCCCATTAAAATGCTCTGTCCATGGGGGGAATAAGACAAAACTGTTGCTGGTAGTGCGATTTCAGAGTTGCCTGCAGATACTGCTTGACAGGCAAAGTGTTGGCACTTACTTATAGCGCTGAAGCTTGCCAAGCACTTACTTCTGCACATCCCTATTGGCCAATATGTATATACTTTTTCTGTTCAGTTGCATCCAATTGTTTGTCAATGGTATTTGACTAGCTCTCTGGTTATCAAGTCTGATATACCCAAAAGCTTTTTTTTGCTTAGAATTTTCTAGGAACATGTTTTACAAGGTAGATCACCAGGTCTTTTCCTAATCCTCCCCAATTGATTGGCTTGGGACTGGCATGCAGACTGTGATAACACATGTGCATTGCCAATTTGTACACACATACTAGGGCCAAATTAGACAATTAACTTATCAGCATGCCTTTTGAGTGTAGGAGGAAACCTTTACAAACACAGAAAGAACATGAAAACTCTATGCAGATAGTGTCTGTCAGGGCTCCCGGGTGTGACCAGAAGTGTGTGACTGACGCAGGGAAACGCAGACTTTAGATATGTTATAAACAATGTAATTTATTAACACTAACCATACAAACATAAACGCAGTGCAATACTAAAACATAACACAGTGCAAACAAACCAACCAACCACCCACAGATAACAGTACATACAATGCAAGCGTCGTCAGGCAGGTCAATATCAGTCGGGCAGGTAGGTACAGGGGGAGCAAGCGGAGAATGGTCAGGATCACAGGCCAGGTTCAGCAGGTAGCGGGCAGCGTGGTACAGAGGGTCAGGCAGAGGAGAATGGTCAGACAAGCCAGGGATCAGGAGCAGGAGAATGGTCAGACAAGCCAGGGATCAGAGCAGGGTCAGCAGAGAATCAGACAGGAACAGGGAGCAGGAACAGGATACAGGGCCCAAGAGAAACACAACACCAAGGCAGAGTCTGCAGGTCTGAATGTCCCTTAAATACACCAGTATAATTAGTTCCAGGTGTTTGACTGGCTGCAAGGTTGAGTCTCTGATTGCTGGGAGCACCCGCTGGCCAGCCCTGGTACTGCAGCTCATAAGGCAGCTGAGTCCCACTATTGCTGGCCAGTCCATTCCTGACAGTACCCCCCCCCCTCAAGAAGCGGCCTCAGGACGCTCCAAACAGTCCTAGCTGGGCAAAATGTTCCACCGCCCGGGTCTGGTAACTGGCGGGATATCAAAGACTGGCACACCGGGCAGGACTCCGGGCAGCGGCACACCGGGCAGAGGCACATCGGGCAGGACTCCGGGCAGAGGCACATCGGGCTGGACTCCGGGCAGAGGCACATCGGGCTCGGGCTGGACTCCGGGCAGAGGCACATCGGGCAGGACTCCGGGCAGAGGCACATCGGGCAGGACTCCGGGCAGAGGCACATCGGGCTACCAGGCTCCAGGGCAGCGGGCCACCAGGCGGAGCAGGACTCCGGGCTCCCAGGCGGCAGCAGCAGGCGCCGGGCCCCCAGGCGGAGCAGCAGGCAGCGGGCCACCAGGTGGAGCAGCACATCGGCCAGGACTCGCGGGGCACCAGGCGGAGCAGCAGGCATCGGGCCCCCGGGCGGGGCAGACCGGCACATCGGGGACCCGGGCCCGGGGGGGCGACCGGCATCGGGCCCCAGGCGGGGCGGGGGACTCCGGGCATCGGGCCTACCAGGCGGAGCGGCGGGCGCCGGGCCCCAGGAGGGGTGACAGGCATCGGGCCCCCAGGCGGGGCAACAGGCATCGGGCCCCCAGGCGGAGCGGCGGGCGCCGGGCCCCAGGGAGGGGCGACAGGCATCCGGGCCCCCAGGCGGGGCGACAGGCATCGGGCCCCCAGGCGGGGGCAACAGGCATCGGGCCCCCAGGCGGGCGACAGGCATCGGACCCCCAGGCGGAGCGGCGGGAGCGCCGGACCCCCAGGCGGAGCGACAGGTCTCGGGCCCCCAGGCGGAGCGACAGGCATTGGGCCCCCAGGCGGGGGCAACAGGCATCGGGACCCCAGGCGGGGCGACAGGCATCGGGCCCCCAGGCGGGGCTACAGGCATCGGGCCCCCAGGCAGGGGCGACAGGCATCGGGCCCCCAGGCGGAGCGACAGGTCTCGGGCCCTCAGGCGGAGCGGCGGGCGCCGGACCCCCCAGATGGAGCGACAGGTCTCGGGCCCCCAGGCGGAACGACAGGTCTCGGGCCCTCAGGCGGGCGAGCGGCGGGCGCCGGACCCCCAGGCGGAGCGACAGGTCTCGGGCCCCCAGGCGGAGCGGCGGGCGCCGGACCCCCCAGGCGGAGCGACAGGTCTCGGGCCCTCAGGCGGGGAGCGGCGGGCGCCGGACCCCCAGGTATAGCGACAGGTCTCGGGCCCTCAGGCGGAGCGGCGGGCGCCGGGCCCCCTGGCGGACAGCGACAGGCATCGGGCGGAGCCCCCAGGCGGGGCGAGCGGCGGGCGCCGGGCCCCCAGGCGGAGCGACAGGCATCGGGCCCCCAGGCGGAGCGGCGGGCGCCCGGACCCCAGGACGGAGCGACAGGTCTCGGGCCCTCAGGCGGAGCGGCGGGCGCCGGACCCCCAGGTGGAGCGACAGGTCTCGGGCCCTCAGGCCCTCAGGCGGGCGCCGGCCCCCAGGCGGAGCGGAACAGGCGCCGGACCCCCAGGTGGAGCGACAGGGGGCGGGGGGCCCCCAGGCGGGCGGCGGAGCGGCGGGCGCCGGACCCCCAGGCGGAGCGACAGGTCTCGGGCCCTCAGGCGGAGCGGCGGGCGCCGGACCCCCAGGTGGAGCGACAGGTCTCGGGCCCTCAGGCGGAGCGGCGGGCGCTGGACCCCCAGGTGGAGCGACAGGTCTCGGGCCCTCAGGCGGAGCGGGGCGGGGCGGGACCCCCCAGAGGCAGCGACAGGTCTGGGCCCTCAGGCAACTGGCGGGCGGCGCCTGACCCCTGGGTCGGAGCGACAGGTCGTCTGGCCCTCAGCGGAGCGGCGGGCGCCGGACCCCCAGGCATGGAGCGACAGGTCTCGGGCCCTCAGGCGGAGCGGCGGGGGTGCCGGGCCCCCAGGCACAAGGACAGTGGGCTCCGAGTCAACTGGCATGACCGCTGGCACTGGGTCAGACATTGGATCGTCTGGCTGGACAGCGGGCATCGGGTCACCAGGCATCAAGTCATTTGGCTCGACAGCGAGCACCGCGTCATCTGGCAAGGCAGTGGGCTCCGAGTCAACTGGCATGACCGCGGGCAGTGGGGCAGACATTTTAATCGTCTGGCTGGACAGCGGGCATCGGGTCACCAGGCATCAGGTCATTTGGCTTGCCAGCGGGCACCGCGTCATCTGGCAAGGCAGTGGGCACCGGGTCACCAGGCATTGGATCGTCTGGCTCGACAACGGGCATCGGGTCACCAGGTATGACAGCGGGCACTGGGTCACCAGGCATCAGGTCATTTGGCTCGCCAGCGGGCACCGCGTCATCTGGCAAGGCAGTGGGCACCGAGTCACCAGGTACGACAGCGGGCTCTGAGTCAATTGGCACGACAGCGGGCACCGGGTCATCAGGCTACCGGATTGTCACCTGGCTCGACAGCGGGTATCAGGTCAATTGGCTATGACAGCGGGCACCGGGTCATCAGGTACCGGATTGTCTGGCTCGACCGCGGGTATCGGGTCACCAGGTATGACAGCGGGCACCGGGTCATCAGGTACGGATTGTCTGGCTCGACAGCGGGCATCGGGTCACCAGGTATGACAGCGGGCACTGGGTCACCAGGCATCAGGTCATTTGGCTTGCCAGCGGGCAAGCGTCATCTGGCAAGGCAGTGGGCACCGGGTCACCAGGCATTGGATCGTCTGGCTCGACAGCGGGCATCGGGTCACCAGGTATGACAGCGGGCACTGGGTCACCAGGCATCAGGTCATTTGGCTCGCCAGCGGGCACCGCGTCATCTGGCAAGGCAGTGGGCACCGAGTCACCAGGTATGACAGCGGGCTCTGAGTCAATTGGCACAGACAGCGGGCACTGGATCAGGTACCGGATCGTCTGGATCAACAGCGGGTATCGATCGAGTCAACTGGCCTAATAGGATCATCAGGCTGGATCAGTTCATCAGGCTGAGTGGAGGCACCAGGCTGAGTAGAGGCATCAGGCTGAGTAGAGGCATCAGGCTGAGTAGAGGCATCCGGCTGAGTAGAGGCATCCGGCTGAGTAGAGGCATCAGGCTGAGTAGAGGCACCAGGCTGAGTAGAGGCACCAGGCTGAGTAGAGGCATCAGGCTGAGTAGAGGCATCAGGCTGAGTGGAGGCACCAGGCTGGGTACAGGCACCAGGCTGAATAGAGGCACCAGGCTGAACCACGGAAGGCAGGTTCTCAGACGGCAGGCTCACCGGTTTAGATACTGGCAGGATGGTATTGGTTGGAAAGAATTTTCGCTTTTTTCTGGTTTTAACTACTGGAGCACTGCAAGTAAACGCAGGTCTGCAAACGAATGGAGCAGCTGGAGACAGAGAAGAGCTGGAAGATGGAACAGAGGAGGGAGCAGTTGCTACAGAGGGCTTTTTTACAGGGTTAAAGGCAGGATAGGTGCAGCGAGTGGGAACAGGGTACTGACATGCGGTAGATAGCAGGGCAGGAGGAGCTGTTGGGAATGCAGGAATAGAGTTTTGAGGAAATAGGTTAGAAGCAGGACTGGGTTTTTGTAAGCTGACTGAGGCTGGGTGCAACAAGTCTGTCCATGTCTGCAGTATGGGTTGAACAAAGCTGAGCTTACACAAAGCCTGTCTGGTCAATGACTGCACTGCGTTTATACAATCTCTTAGTACCTGTGGTGAACATGTGGAATAACGCTCCAGAAAGTAACCCACATCATCCTCTAATAACCACACCAGGGACTCTACCTGGTCTGCACTAAATGGTGGCAAAAATTCATCCCTGCATTCGGGGGGGTACCAGATGAAACCAACTCAGCACAAAACTCAATCAAAGGCTGCACCTCAGAGAACTCTGTGCCCTGATCTACTAGAACATGAGCGAGCCGTATACATTCTAGCAGTTCATCCCGGGTATACTCCTTCAGAGTTTGATAAGCATACTCCCTGTCATCAAACACTAGCAGATATAAATACGCAACCTCATCCAGATCCATCCTTCCCATCAACAAGCCAAGATGGCTTCCCTGTGCAGCCACTTCTGGTCAGGATTGGCCTTGGTGTAATGTCAGGGCTCCCGGGTGTGACCAGAGGTGTGTGACTGACGCAGGGAAACGCAGACTTCAGATATGTTATAAACAATGTAATTTATTAACACTAACCATACAAACATAAACGCAGTGCAATACTAAAACATAACACAGTGCAAACAAACCAACCAACCACCCCACAGATAACAGTACATACAATGCAAGCGTCGTCAGGCAGGCCGGATCAATATCAGTCGGGCAGGTAGGTACAGGGGGAGCAAGCGGAGAATGGTCGGGATCACAGGCCAGGTTCAGCAGGTAGCGTGCAGCGTGGTACAGAGGGTCAGGCAGAGGAGAATGGTCAGACAAGCCAGGGATCAGGAGCAGGAGAATGGTCAGACAAGCCAGGGATCAGAGCAGGGTCAGCAGAGAATCAGACAGGAACAGGGAGCAGGAACAGGATACAGGGCCCAAGAGAAACACAACACCAAGGCAGAGTCTGCAGGTCTGAATGTCCCTTAAATACACCAGTATAATTAGTTCCAGGTGTTTGACTGGCTGCAAGGTTGAGTCTCTGATTGCTGGGAGCACCCGCTGGCCAGCCCTGGTACTGCAGCTCATAAGGCAGCTGAGTCCCACTATTGCTGGCCAGTCCATTCCTGACAGTGTCCTAGCCAGTGGCGGCATAACTAGAACCTTCCTCAGGGCCCCGATGCTAGAAACCATGAAGGCTCCCCGGCCCCAGCCGGGGCCCTTCCCTCTGAGCCCAGTGGTGGAATGCCAGGGCCCAGCCGCAAGTGTGACTTTTGTTACCCTGGTAGTTCCACCACTGGTGCCAGTAGGTTTTTTTTTTCTTTTTTTTTTAAATAAAATTTTTTACAATTTTTTTAGGAGCCCAGTTGGGGCCTTAGTGAGATATCAGGGGTCTAAAAAGTAATGAAAGAAGGAAGGAAGAAAAGAAAAAAGAAAAGGGAAAAATAAAAGAGAAAAAATAAAGGAGAGAAAGAAATAAGAAATAAGAAAAGAAGGAAAAAATTAAAAGAAGGGAAAGAAGGAAGGAAGGAATAAAGGTAGGAAGGAAGGAAGGAAGGAAGGAAGGGAGTCCTACTTACAATATAGTACTCACTGGGAGGCAGGAGAGAAATGGGAGAGGGGAGACTTCACTCTCAGTGCATGAATGGATCACCAGGATGCACCTTTCCTCTTCTGCCTAGACTTCAAACTTCCTGCTCACATAGTGTAGGTGGGGCTGACACAGGAGCAGAGGGAGGGGTGGAAAGAGGAGGAGCTTAAGCAGCTCTTTCTCCTCTCTCGGTCCATGTCAGCGCTCTTTCAGCTCAGAGCCCTGCAGGCCTCAGCCACTGGGGACAGGGGGGAAGAATACAGAGGGTGGGTCCAGAGGAAGCTGGATAGGAGGAGTGGTGGGGGTGACTGCATACCGAGGAATCCATCTCTTCATGTTTCCTCCTGCAGCCGCTAAATGCCTCCTTCTCTTCCTCTCCCTCCCACAGGCATTCAGTGGCTGGGCAGGAGGAACATGAAGAGGTCGGTTCCTCTATATCCAGTTGCCCCTGCTGTTCCTCCTATCTAGGAGTACAAGGGGCCACATGGGCCCCCTGAAGCATGGGGTTGGGATCACAATTGTGACCCCTGCGACTCCTGTAGCTATGCCCCTGGTCCTGGCTGAATTTCAAAGTAAGGACCCAGTGATTCAAAGAGTAAGTGCTACCCACTAAGCCACTGTGCCACCCTATCAGGCAGTACAGCTGTCCATAATAGTGATGGCCCAATGGGAATGTGTGGGTATGGGGCTTAGCAGCAAGCTCCAATGCTGCTTGGAACTGTTGTAGCTTAGACTGTCAGAATGATCCAGTATTCAGCCAGGAAAGGAGGGTTTAGGAAGCTGCTGCTCAGCTAAGTGGCTCTACTTCATACCTGCAGCAGTTTGCTCGTTCTTCCTCCCCAATGATAGAGGCTCTAAGTATGAAAATGCAAGCTTTATCACGGCACCCTCTGTAGTATATTGATCTACCACAATCAAATTTTTATCCAGCTCTGGGTCACATGAAGGGTTGGAGGTTTTTACTGCTCTCTGTGTTCCCGTTGGGAAATTTAACTTTACTTCTTTTCCCAGTGGTACCAAATCTCTGTATGGTGTCAATAACAGCTTTTGCAGTATAGTGCATAGTGTCACACATAAAACTGGTATTTGCTTTCACAACACTATATTCAAGAAAGCTCGCTAATACATCCTTTGCTTAGAACTGACTTTGCAGAAGTGAAGCTGATGTCAGCCACCTCAGTTGCATTCATTAACAAAAAAACAGATCTCCAGCTATGTGCGGTAAGCAACATTGTACTATACAATCCTAACAACACAACCACTTGCCTAGGCAAACTATTTAGGCTGGTTGTACAATAATCAATACTTGTCCAATGATTGTAAAAAAAAGAGGTGAATGTATGTATTGCCCCAGTGGGTCCCAGAGCCAAATATATAGAAGAAACAATTATTCATGTTTCCTGAAACATCCAAAGCAAACGGATGCACAAACAGATGTAGAGACAGAAGGTCAGAGAACTATAGCCTATATACAACTGATACATCAGCACTTATTATCTGTGGATCTAGAGTGTTTGTGATGGTGAAAGAGCATGTCTGACATTCCTTTAATTCCAGACACAACTACGCTTGATATGTCTGCAGTCCTGACACATGTTTAGCAGCTGAACACTGTAGGGTAGCAGATAGTTTACACATTATGTTTTTTAATACCTTTCAACACATAGGAAATATATTTAGTTGTAATACACCCTTTTTTTTTTATTTTAGAAATTTATTTTAATATACTACAATAACAATCTCTTGTCATTGCTTTGCTCGAAAAGATGGAAAATAAGTCTACCATTCACTCAAAGTCTGATAGCTGGTAAACATGACCTTTCCCTTGTGATCCTTTTTTTATTGGATTCTTTGTAGACTTACCACTAAATACCTGGGCACTGCACAGTCCTGCGTTATGCAATAAATTGTATATACACATTTTTCTTTTCCTATTATATTGGGTTTATTTTGTAAAACTGTGTAAAGAGCAATGAGAAAGAGCAAAGTACTGCAAACAATCAACCACATACAGGATCCATTTCAGCTGAGAGGTATATTCGGGATTGTCAGTGGGTAGCATCACCAGTTTACAGAATCAGTATTTAGATTTAGATTACTCATACCTCATCAAACCACTAAACTCAAGCCAAGTAGAATTGGAGTGGCATAGCTACTATTTGATCCACTAGAAGTTCTAAGTAAATAGAGGTTTTGTAGATTTGGCAATTGACATGTATGTCCAAATCTGAATGATGTTATTTGCTCCTGGTCTGATTTTTCAGATTGTCCTAGCCACTTGATCCAATTGTCTGCTAGATAAACATAAGCAGTTAGCCAGATTCAACTGGACTTGATCTGTAATGTCTAAGACGTTTTGCTACATAACAGAGCAAATCCATTTGAATGTGGTTAACCACTACTAGCTATACCATAACCTGGATAATTAGAACTTTCACATATATGTTGGCTAGATAAATATTTTGTAGATTTGGCAAACAGATTTACCATATTGAGTGGTAACATCATCTAGCTATTTGACCATAGTGTTGGTTTGGTAGATATTTAGTAGATTTGGAAATTTATGGAACA